CCACTACAGATCCCCAATCCACTATGACCTATGGAGGAGATACTGGGAGGAAACAGGTACTACCAGACAGTGTCAGTCTTACCAGCCTCCAAAGAGTGAACCATACAGCTCCTTACCTTAAAAATGATGAATACCACAAAGAACACAAGAACAATGAAGAGGAGGCAGCTGGAGTCTAACGCCAGGAGGTCATCTTTGTAGGGGAAATCAGGCTGTTAAAATATACATACAAGAGTTTACAACTCAGTCATGGCACTTATACTCTGTGATAACCTTGAAAGCATTTTAAAGAACAGAAGCAAAAGACATCAAAGTTTAAAGCCTACTAAAATTTACAAGCAGGATTTAACTTGGGGTTTAAGTCCCTTTATCATTTACAGACATCCTTAATCACCTAAGATATACTTGTTCAAATATCCAGAGTAACTACTAAAAAAGTCTAAAATGAGCTAATTTTCTCTTTATTCTCTACTATTTTCCAACTTTCTGTTCTCTGACAAAATATAATCACTCGAATGGCACCCCAGATTTGTCCTCTAAATCAGTTAATCAGGAGGAACTACAATTACCTAAGTTCTAAGGGCCACTTGGTCTTACAAGAAGAAAATAAATTTTTCTAAAAGTAAATGTTGGTCTTACTTAAGTCTTCCATCAGATGGGCAAAAAGAAGGCATGACACTGCCTAAGAGCCAGGTAAGATGAAATTCACTTTTAATGAACTACATTCTCCTGGCAACATTCCTTTAATACACACATTCCTTTAATATATATTAGGCTCTGACTCAACAAAATGAGCAAAGTTTAGGCTAAAGGGCACTAGAAGAGGAGTCAGGATTTACAAGCTGGCCAGCAGACAGGTACCTTCTAGTTTGAGGGATTGAGCCAATCAGCTAGAGAAAAAAAAGCATCAGGTCTATAGAAGAGAGCAGGTTCTGATATTCTTTCCTATACAAGCACCCTCTCTCTCGTTTTGTTTTGTTGAGTTTTCTTTGAGACAGAGTTTCCCCCACAGTTGGCCTGGAACTCAGTATGTAATCCAGGCTCACAGAGATCTGCCTGTCTCTGACTCCCAAGTGCCTGGTTTAAAGGCATGAGCCACCATGGCCCCCTCTCTCTTTTTAAAGTTTTTATCTGTCTGTAACAGAAATACAAATATAAATGCATTTTCATGCACAGAATATAACCAACACATAGGAAAGTGTATATGATGGGAAGTTTAGATTTTATTCAAAAGCAAGCAGGGGCCCATCTGGGACATTTCAGTCAGATGACATGCTTAGAGAACAGCATTTAGAAACTTCTGACCACAGCTGACTGGGCAGCAAGTCCTGGGCCCAGTTCCCTCTCTCTACCCTCCACAGATGTCTTCTTTTCCCCCTGTGTGCCAGCCACCATGGCCATCTTTCAGTTTCCTGACCATCCCACACTTCTTTCTGCTCAAGGACTTTCACTTCTCTGGAACTTTTTCTTCTATATTTCGCCTCCCTTAATCCCTAAGTTAAATTCAGAGAGAAGATTTTTATTTTATTTTATGTATATGAATGTTTTGCCTGTATGTATTTCAGTGTACCAGTACATGCAGTCCCTGTGGAGGCTAGAAGAGGGTGTCAGATCCCCTTAAACTAGAGTTACAGATGGGTGTTAGCTGCCATATGAGTGCTGCAGTTAGCAGCCAGTGCTCTTAATTGCTGAGCCATCTCTCCAGCCCCCTACTCAGTGTAATTCAAATCTCACAAGTTGAAGTCTTAAGACCCAAGTGATACCTACAATTAATAATACCTCTCTGTCAGCTTTCTGACTCCTTCACTAGGATACCTAGGATCTAGCACCTAAAAAAGCAATCAACAAATGCTTCTGAATGTAAGAGAACATTTGGCGACATGCAAAATGGACTAGACAAGACACCTGGAAGTTGTCCCAAAAAAGTTCTAGAAGACAACATTTTGGAAATGAACTAAGGACAGTCACCCCACCAGCTTTCATCTATTTAGATTCTATACTTCCTTCCAAAACTCTACCACAAAGCCCCCCTTCGCCACTTCAGCCCAAATTATCCCACTCCCCCACCCCCATTATATGGCATTAATCTAAGTTCCTTATTTATTGCTGCCACGTGACAGGTTGTTTGTTCCCTCAAACACCTTCATATATCTTAATTCCTCAAATACGTGAGATGAAAGCTATCCTCTATCCATACTTAATTCACCAATGGTGTCTGGAATAGAGTTAGGGTATAGTAGGCACCCAGACATATGCTACCAGTATGATAAAAAGATGAAACGCCAATTCCTTATGTACCAAATACAGCTGAATTATTCTACTAAAAACAAAAGCTAAACTACCACTTTGGGCTGTGAAAATGGTATGGTAAAAAAATAATCTGTATTTTACAGGTTTTAACATGGGAATAATGTTAAGATACCATAAAAAGCAAATGACAGTTAAAAACAGTTTTAAGCCTGACTCAGGATTCCAATTAAAATATGTTATTTTAAGTGGTAAGAAAGTTTAAATAGCACACACACTTACTAACTGATCCAGATACTCTTTGATTCGTGGCAAGTAAGTGAGAGAACTAACAGCAACCAGACAACTGAGAACGAAGTCAAAAAGCCGGTAGCAGAAGAATGGAATCAGCCAGCCCACTTGATACTGTCAAAGAGAAGAACATCTTAGTATCAGAAGTTACTCCCACACAGTAAAGGCCAAATTCAGAAAGATGAAAATATGGCAGACTTACAGAAATTGCTCCATATACCAGCATTGAACTGATTATAAACATAAGAACAGAGACGGCAAAAAGAACGCAGGCATTATCTAAGAAAACAAAAACAGAAATCTAATTAAGCAACATATACAATGAAAAAAAATTCATGACAAAATATTTTAAAACTAGCTTTAAAATGTTTAAATTAAATGTTCAAATTAAATGTAATTATTTTCAAAGTTGACTATCAAAAGATCTAAGGCCAAGAAGAGGAGAAAACAAAAGTCTAAGTCTTGGCAATAAGAAATCTTAAAATCACACAGGTTAAATTGCTGCAAGGACTCACTGACTGTTTAGTGTGGAACATGAACTGTGAACTCAGAGAATGAAAGCATGCAAACAATTACAACCCAATGACAAGCACTGTAACAGATGCTGAAGCAACGTGCAAGGGCCTGCAGACTCATGAAAAAACATAAAATAACACAACTTGGGCTTTGGGAGATGAAGTTTAACTGGAAGGAAAAGTTAGTATTTGCTTTAAGGGCAGGGATGTTACACACAGAAAACTACAGACACCTTCAATAAAATACAACCTGAAATTCAGAGCGCACCATTAACCCCCTTTTCCCATCCCTCTGTCTCAAACTTTTATTATTCTTTTTTAATATTTTGTTTTTTATTTTTATGTGTATGAGTGTATTGCCTGCATGTGAGTGCACCCGTGTCGTGCAATGCCTCGGAGATCAGAAGAGGGCTTCAGATTCCCCTGGAACTGGAGTTAAGGACAGTTTGCAGCTGCCATGTGGGAGCTGGGAATCTAACCCGGGTCTTCTGCTAGAGTAGTCAGTGTTCTTAACTGCTGAGCCATCTCTCCAGCCTGTCTCAAACTTTCAAACCCACTGCTTTCTTCCTTCACTTTGCCTGTTCTTCCACACACAGATCTACACTTAGCTCTTCAAATTTTTCTCAAAGTTGTTCCAGCTGTGTATTATCCACACATTGACTAATTTTTTCACAAGACACCAAAATAATCTCCAAGAATATTAAACCATATTTGACTGGGTGAGCTTCTTTGACAACCTAAACTTGATTCTGTGACTCTGGACAGACATTAATAAACTAAAGGGCACTATTATTAGTGAATAGAATGATTAGATGAATTATTAGATGAATGATTAGAACTACTATATATTCACCATTGGATAGATGTACATATAATCTTATAACTGAGCAGTAAAAACATCTTTGGTACTAAAACATTACACTAAATAATAGCTCTCTATCAATTCTTCCTTGTTTAATGATGCAAAATGCCACTCAAATATAAAACATAAAGTTAGGCAGGATAGGTACTGTTAAACTTGAAAATATCATTACTTAAAATTGATCAGGCCCAATGAGGAGAAATTAACTATGTCTATAGGATAGTAAACTTTCAACTTTCAAAGAAACACAATCTACCATATGACCAAAATTTACTATTTTTATATAAGGGCTTTAGGATAGTTTTTAAAAATACAATAATGAATACATTTGATTTTCTTTACAGTAGTTAGAAAATTCATGTAGTATTAAGCGAAATGGTGTCACTCTTAGAGCTCTCTAGCCAGGGGTGACATAACCACCTCCATAACCATGAATCTCTGCTCTACATTTCAGCTTTAGGAGAAACACAGGACAAGAAAAAAATGCTGACATTAGCAGGCAAATAAAATTTTATAGCGTGAAGTAAAATTCTTAATTATCTTAAAAAGTAGCTGGGTGTCAGTGATAACACATACCTGTAATCTCAACAGCCTAAAACCCAAGCACTTGGGAAGTTGAGACAAGGAGGAACTTGACTTTAAGGCCAGATTAGGCTACAGAGCAAGACCCTGTCTCGGAAAAAAAAAGCGTATGTGCATGTGCGCGTGCGTGTGTAAAACTCTAAAATTGCATTTACTGTTCTTTCTGGTCTACATGACAAGTTGCAGGCCAGCTGGAGCTAATGGAAGATCCTGTCTCCAGGAAAAAATAAAAAAGAACTGGTAGGGATATTATATTATCTTTAAAGTAAAATCTTACCAGCCATTCTCTCAGATGAATAGTAATTGCCAATGACTTCATACTGAATGTTGACAGCTGGCACGGAGTTTGGGTGAGTCACCTCCACAGTCAGCAAAATTGCCATCAATAGGTTGACCACCTGAGAAAAATACATTTTATCATTTACATTATCAGAGACCAATCTTCCCCAAAATCTCTAGAAATTGTACTATACTTAAAACTGTCCCTGCAGTAACAAAGATATAAAATGGACTGAGATACTGAGATAAAACATGCAACTGCCACCATGAGAATAGTTTAAAAGTAAAATTAAGGAATCATTACAAACTACTCATGTTCATAGACATATTTCTTTGTATACTAATCTCAGAATTTGTTAATACAAGCTACAGTTAGTTCATCAAACACATTTACTTACCAGATGCCTGAAACTTCTCCAGAGTACCCCATTAGCTTACAGGATTTTCTAAAGCTCTGATTATCATCAATCTCTCTCTTTTGCTCTTGTACCTTTTCAGTTAATGTATTTCTACGAGCTCATCTAATACCCCAAACAGCTTCCAAACACTGGTCTAAACATCCAGGTTCTTAAGCCACTCCGTCTTTCCAGTCTGCCTCCAGCTACCTCACTATCGCCCCTACGCATTCCTCTTTACATAAGCTCCAGTGGCGTGGACAGGTTCCCCAATCTACCTCACAAATCCAATCAACGCAACTGTACTGACGTTGTACGTTTTTCAATGTTACATAAAGGTAATTCTCTACATTACCTCATTCTTTCCCCTCACCTGACCCTGATAAGCTGCCTGCAACCTTGGAGTGGTTGGATTGGATTCAGAGGCCCAAGTACAGGCCGCAATGTATTTGTAACTGAATTTCATCTTATTAAATTCTTGTCCATCCAGATTTTCTAGATCTGGATTTTGACATCCTATAAGATTGACTCTCGGGTTTCTAAATTTTGAAATACGATCAACAGGTAATAATCAGTATTGCCATTTATGTCACTAAGAACAGAACTGAGGACAAAGTTGTCAGCTGCCCCCTCTCACTAATCAGCAACCTTTGAATAAAAATGTTGATCTGGTCCAGAGGAACACTGTGGGTCTTTGCGAGGTATCTTGCTGAAATCCCATCATAGTATCTGCTGAATTTCCTTGTCTACCAGGGCTATAAATCCCATTTCTAAAGGAAATTCTTTATGCAGAACTCTAGTGAATCCCAGGAGGCATTATTGCCTGTGAATACTCAGAAACAGTCCTATTTAAAAAATTCAATATAGAGATCTCATTTAGGTCTATAGCTAGCCTTCCACAACTGAAATTCACAGAATCTGTCCTCCTCCTGTTTGTGGAAGTCCAAACATTTAGCACTTGCAAGGGCTTTACATCAACAATACTTGAAGCATACTTATCTCCTGTCCACTGTGAATGATGATAAGTAACACCTGAGAGACACATTTTCTTTATATCAGGTCAAGTTACTTTACAAGCACTTGGTAAGCAAGTAGACTACATTTTATTTTCAAGTTCTAGTGTATGAAAATCAGTTTGAAACCAATTCAGCAAACTCTTGTTTGCTAAACAAAATTGTCACCTTAGTAATTAATAAAGTTGTGCATGGCACAGAAAAATATTCATGTCAAGAAAAACACACAAACCTAACTAACAAATGAAGGAACTGAAACACCAAAAATATTAAGGGGCTTTAAATTTAACCTTTACACTTACTCATTTACTTTGTATGTATATGTATGTGTGTATGCATGCATGCCATGGTCCAGCTGTCTAAGCATTATTCTAAACACATATGACAGATAATTTAGTCTGGAAAATTTGTACTTGAGAGCTTAAAAACTTATGGCTGAGAACTCCGCTCCTATATAGGCCCTGGCAACTTTTGATTCCAGCTGACACTTCTACTAAGTTCCCTGTTGGATTTTTTTAATACATAAAATTAAGTGTAGCGCTACAATTTAAAATTATCTTTGAAATACCCTACTACGTACAACCTATTCCAGAATATTCTTTTTTTTTCTCTTTTCACTGTATTCAGGAAAGAAAGTTAAAAATCAAATTAGTAAAGACCTGAACCTAGTGATGTAGACATGTACAGAACACAGCAATATGCCAACACCACAGGCAATTGACCTACCTATATAGGAGCAGTCTTTAAAAGCCTTCTGCACACTTTATGTGAGCAAATAGCAGAAAGACAGAAAAGTATTACTTTTTTTTTTTATTTTGTACAAAGGAACAGTATGAAATCCATGGAAGCACTCAGGCCCTGTAGAGTTTTTATTTCATAGTCACACCTATCCCAGAAGACCCTAATGACTTGCTTGGGGGGAGAATAATCTATTTTCCTTAATGATAAATAATAACATCTTTACAGGGTACAATGTAATATTTTAGTAATTTATACATCCTGTGTTGGTCAACAAAATACTTCCATCATCCTATCATCCTAAAATGTTTGTTTTCTTGAGAACATTCAAACTCCTGCTTAGTTATTTGAACAGCTATAATCATCTGTGCAGGAGAACATTAACACTACTCCTATCTTGCTGCTTCCTGCACACTCCCCATGCCTTTCACAGCTTCTGGCAACCACTATTCCGTATATTAGGTCTATAAACTCAGCCTTTTTACACTCTAGGTAAAATCATGTATCTGTTTCTCTATACCTCGCTTACTTTACTCACTATCTTCGATTCCACTCACGCTACTACAAATCTAGATAGGATTTTGTCCATTATTGCTGAAAGGCAGCCCTTGTGAATGTATACTGCAGTTTCCTCATCCATTCCCATCAATGGACACCTCAGCTGACTCCCTGCCACAGTTACTGCAATAAACATGGGTGTGCAGCCTATCTTTCATATACAGATTTTGTTCTGTGAGTAAGCACCCACTAGTGTGATTCCTCGGCAACAGAGTTCTACATTTAAGTTGAGGAGCATCCATACTATTCTTCCAAAGTGGCTACACTTACATTCCATGAAGTACAGGTATTCCTCTTTCTTCACATCCTCGCCAGCATCTGTCACTTTTTGTCTGATTTATAGGCATTCTAACTGTGATGAGACAGTATTTCACTGTGGTTTTGGTTTCATTTTCTTCACAATTCATGAAGTATATCACTTTTGCATGTATTTTCTGGCCCCTGCATATCTTCTTCTGAGAAATATCTATTTAACACCTTTTCCCCTTTCAAATTGTGAGGCAGTTTTCAAGTATGTGCTGCCACTCTGTAGGTTGTCTACTCCCTGTTCTGATTATTTTGCAATGTAGAAGCTTTAATTTGCTGGAACGTTATTTGTGTCTTTTGTTGTTGTTGCCTATGCATTTACTACATTCTTGTACAAAAATTTCTTGTTCGAGACCTAGAGAGATAGTTCAGGGGGTTAAGAGCACTGGCTGCTCCTGCAGAGGACTCAGATTTGGTTCCCATACACATAAATAAATAAAAATAAAAATTTCTTGTTCAGATCAATGTCAGTGTTTCCCCTACATTCTCTTCTAGTAGTTCTAGTTTCAGGTTTTACAATTAAGTCTGTGAGAAAACTTAAGCTGCTTTTTGTATACAATGAGAACAGGGTCTAGTTTCATTCTTCTACATGTGGACACCCACTTTTCCCAGCATCATTTATTTAAAGAGAATATACTTGCCCAGATGTATATTCTTAGTATCTCTGTTGAAAATAATGTGGCTGTTGACAGTGTAGACTTATTTTTGAGTTCTCCATTCTGTTCCATCAGTCTGTATGTCTATTTTTGTACCAGTACTATGCTGTTTTGGTCACTACCACTTTAGATTTTGAAGCTGAGCAATGTGCTAAACCTCCAGCTTTGTTTCTTTTGCTCAGGACTGCTTTGGCTATCCAGTCTTTTGTGGTTCTGTTCAAATTTAAGGAATTCTTTTTACATTAAGTGAAGGATGATCAGCATACATTACATTTATAGATTACTTTGGGTAGTATAGGCATTTTCACAACACTAATTCTTCTGATCCATGAATACAGGGTACCTTTTCATATATTTGTAACCTCTTCAAGCTCTTTCATCAATGTTTTGGTTTTCATTGCCAAGGCCTTTCACCTCCTGGCTAAATTTATTCCTAGAGTTGTTTTTTTGTTTTTTTTTTTTTCCTTGTTTTGTTTTTATAACTATGGTAAATGCGATTGCTTTCTAATTTCTTTTTCAGATAGTTCACTATTGGTACATAAAAAAAAAACACTACTACACTACTGTTCTGGAAGCTGCTTTTACTAAATTTATTCTGACAGTTTTTTCAATTTTTAGGATTTTTCTATTATCTGGCTAGATCATCTACAAATATAGACATGACTCCCTCCTTTCCCATCTGCAAGTCCTTCATTTATTCCTCCTGCTTAACTGTTCCATCTAGGACTTCCAATTCTATGTTGAGTAGAAGTGAAAAAGAGGCACCCTTATTTGGTTGGGTCCTGATCTTAGAGGAAAAGCTAACTTGGTATGCTGCTAGCTGTGGGTCTGTCACATATGGCCTTTGTTATGCTGCAGTACTTTCCTCCTATAGCCATTTTATTCTTCATGTGAAGGGATGGTGAATCTTATCAAATGCATGACTGCATCTAGTAAAATGGTCATATGGATTTGGTTCTTTTTGAGACAAAAAGAGGCTCTCCCTGTAGCCCCAGCTGGCCTTGAACTCACTTTGTAGACCACCAGGCTGGCCTTGAATTCACAGAGATCCACCTGCCTCTGCCTCTGCCTCCCAAGTGCTGGGACTAAGGGTATGCGCCACCACATCCGGCTTTTTCATTCTACATTTCACATTTGATTTGTATGTTGAACCATTCTTGCATCCTTAGGATGAATCCCACTTGATCACAGTGATTTACTTTTTTAATGTGAGGTTGAATTCTGCTTACCAGTGTTTTTATTGAGAATGTCTGCATCTATGTTTAGAGAGTCATTGGCCTGCTGTAGTTTTTGTTTGTGGTGTGTGTGTGTGTGTGTGTGTGTGTGTGTGTGTCTTCACTGGCTTCACAGAATGTTTCCCTCCTATTCCATTTTTGATGAATAATTTGAAAAGACAATAGTGGTTCTTAAATATTTTGTACAATCCATCAATCAATCATCAGATACTGGATCT